AGAAAAGGCCTTTGACAAAATCCAACACCCTCTCCTGATTAAAACACTCAACAAAATAGGATTAGAGGGGAATTTCTTCAACATAGTAAAAAGTATTTATGCAAACCCGAGAGCCAACATTGTTCTCAATGGAAAGAAGTTAAAGGTATTCCCTTTAAGAAGAGGAACTAGGCAAGGATGCCTAGTTGGATAGGAAGACTCAATATTGTGAAAATGGCAATACTACCAAAGGCAATTTACACTTTCAATGCAATCCAATACAAATACCAATCCCTTTCTTCAACGAGATGGAAAAGGCAATGTCCATTTTCATTAGGAATGGAAAGAAGCCCGAAAAGCAAAGCACTCCTTAAAAATAGAAGAAAGGTAGGAGGCATCTCACTCCCTGATTTCAAAACCTACTGCACTGCCATGGTGGTCAAGAGAGCATGGTACTGGTACAATGACAGACACATAGATCAATGGAGTAGAATTGAGAACCTGGAAATCAGCCCATCTATTTATGGGCAATTGATTTTTGACAAGGAGATTAAATCAGTTAAATGGGGAAATGACAGCCTTTTAAACAAATGGTGTTGGCAAAATTGGAAAACTATCTGCAGAAAACTCAGGCAAGATCCACATCTCATTCCCCACAAAAAAAACAAATTCTATGTGGATCATGGACCTAGGACTAAAATCAAGGACTATAAAGTTCATTAAAGAAAAGCTTGGAAGAACTCTAGAAGTCCTAATCCACAGCATAAACAGTCTTCGAAGCATCCTGAAAAATCTACAATCAGGAGAAGATAAAATAGATGAATGGGACCTTCTAAGAATCAAATCCCTAAAACTTCTCCAACAGAGTAAAAAGGGAATCCACCGACTGGGAAAAAGTATTTGGTGATACTTGTCAGATAAGGGAACTTATTTACCTAGAATTTATAAAATACTTGAGCACCACAACAAGATAAAGGTAAACAATGCAACTGAAAAATGGGCACAGGATATGAACAGACACTTCAGCAAAGAAGACATTCAGATGGCAAACAAACACATGAAGAAATGTTCAATATCCCTAACTCTAAGAGAGATGCAAATTGAAACAACTATGAGATATCATCTCACCCCAGTAAGAGTGGCAAAATTTATCAGAACAGCAAGGAAGGCAAGGTTGTAGAGAAACTGGAACCCTTATTCACTGTTGTTGGAAATGTAAAATGGTGCAACTACTATGGAAGGCAGCATGGTGCTTTCTCAAAAAGTTGCAAATAAAATACCATTTGCCCTAGCAATTCCACTACTGGGAATATACCCCAAAGCAACCAAAGCTGCCACCCATGCATATATATGCACACCCATGTTTTTCATGGCTTTGTTCACAATAGCAAAGAGTTGGAAACAACCCACGTGCCCATCAACAAACGAATGGGTAGAGAAGCTGTGGTATATTCACACAATGGAATACAACACTGCATTGAAAACCAAGGAACTCAAGCAATATTATTCAAAATGGGTGACCCTGGAGGACATTATGCTGAGTGAAATATCTCAGTCACAAAAGGACAAA